CCACCATTTCGGCCAGTTTTTAGCATTTTTAAAATTCACTATCACTGTGTCCTCATCAGATAGTTTCTTGATTTCCACAGACAACTCTGCATTCCATTCATTCAGCAAAGAGTCATTGTATGTCATTAACAACAAGAATGGCCTGAATTTACTGTGCACCTACTGTCTGGCACTGTATTTATTTTTTTACACCAACTGTCTAATATTCACAACAAACCTACAAGTTAGAAACTTAGTAAGTTTCATTGTTACCATGAAATCCAAGTGGATTACAACCCAGTACACATATACATAAATGTACAATTGAAACTAAATTGCAAAAAAAGAATACCTTCCACCTCAGCCTCCTGAGTAGCTGGAACCATAGGCAAGAGCTACCATGCCTGGCTAATTTTTGTATGTTTTGTAGAGATGGGGTTTCACCATGTTGCCCAGGCTGGTCTTGAACTCCTGGGCTCAAGTGATCCTCCCACCTTGGCCTCCCAAAGTGCTGGGACTACAGATGTGAGCCACCACACTAGGCCAGTGAAAATGCTTTGAAATAGATAAACGTGACAGTTGCACAAACCCAGTGAATGTAATAATTGCTGTTAAACTGTACTGTTTTTTCTTTTTTTGAGACGAAGTCTTGCTCTCTCGCCCAGGCTAGAGTGCGCTGGTGTGATCTCAGTTCACTACAACCTCCACCTCCCGGGTTCAAGCGATTCTCCTGCCTCAGCCTCCTGAGTAACTGGGATTACAGGTGCGTGCCACAACACCCGGCTAATTTTTGTATTTTTAGTAGAGATGGGGTTTCCCCATCTTGGTCAGGCGGTCTCAAACTTCTGACCTCGTGATCCACCCACCTTGGCCTCCCAAAGTCCTGGGATTACAGGCATGAGCCACTGCGCCCGGCCTAAACTGTACATTTTTAAAGGGTTTTGTTATGTAAATTTTACCTAAAAAAAAAAAAAAAATGGCCCAACAATAAAAATCCAAAGGTGAAATTGTGTAGACCAAGCAAACTGGGTAGAGAACAGTGAATAAAGAGGTTAAAATGAGATGGAGCTTTATATTTAATAAAAATGTGCTCCTGAAAATTTGTTGTGAATTGAATTCTTACTATATTTTCTCTTGCTACAAGTAATTGTAGCAACTTTTTTCCAGCTTGAGGTCCCATGACTAATAGAAATGGTGTATCTTTAAGGTATACAATGTGATGTTTTAACATATGCATAAATTATGAAAATGATTACCAACACTGAAGCTAACTTTTTAAAGCTATTTTTATTTCAGGTTGCCCTCTAATTCGTAGGAATTCACAGCTCTTTAGTTTTAGGTTTCTCTGCCTCCCATTTCAGAATAGTGCAGCAGAACTGCATTATTTTGAATTCTGTAATGTTTAATTTGTGATTTTTCCAATAAAGGTTGCTTTGCATGAATATACTACAATGTAAAACCACGTGCAAATAAATGCGTAAGATATTTAAAAACAGAAGTGTTAATAAAAAATGCGTGTAAAGATGAATACAGATTTAAGAAACTACTTTCACATATGTCAGGAAGCTGGTATACAGGTAAAAGATCAAAATCGGATGTGTATGTTAACTCTCATTCCAATCTTCCTTTCAATATCAGTTCTTGTTAATCACTTTTAGTGTCCTGACTTAAAAATAACATTGCATTTCTTTCAGTTCAGATTTTGCGCTTATTTCGGATTACACTTTTTAAACACTGTCCTTGCATACATAAAAGTTTAGCTGCAAGGATCTATAGTCAAATGCATTAAGAGTACTTATTATTTAAAGACATTAGATGTTAAATTTGTACAAAAAGTACTAAGTTCACCCATTTGAAGTGTACAATTCACTTCATATAATCTAATTTTAGAACATGTAATGAGCTTTTTTTTTTTTTTTTTTT